CCCAAACATGGAGCCGCCTCTCATGAAGCCTACAAGTTCTTGTATGCATCCCCCGCAATGTCAACTCACTATACGTGAGGGTCGATTCACTCACACGTAAGTTGGAGTGGGTTTAAGGTGAATTTCACCATTTGATGTGTGATTTAATCTTATATTGTTGGTACTCATTTGTATCACTTATTATTTTAATTGCCATGTGAGTTCAACCTTAAACTGACATAGTTTTGTTCATATGTCATTCGGAAAGTTATTCCAAGAGATCTTTGACGGGAAAAGAACAGTAGAAATGCCAAAAGTTGTGTACAGCGCTCACTTTAGTGCCAAAAGTTTTTTTGGATCACTTAAGTACCACTTCTTTAAAAAAAAATGATTACTTAACTGCTAACTCCGATCTAAGTAACTGGAAAATCTGACGTGTCATTATTTTATAATAAATAGTCTGATGTGGCTTGCCGGAGAGAGCCACGTCATACTTAAATATTATGATGGACTTTATTTTTGTCCACGTTGGATATCAAATTTTTTTCCTTTTTTATTTTGCAAATAATTATAATTAAAGAAGAAAAAGAAAGTTGAAGGCGACGAGGTGTTGATGAAGATGATGAAGGCAATGAAGACCCGGAAGCAAAGGTTGATGATGAAGATGAAGATGAATTTTTGAAAGCTAAACAAGGTCTTCTCTCATTTATTTGCCATAAATTAATGAATTTGGGATAAATTTGTTTTGTTTCTCAAACCCTAATCCCTCAATCTTTCTCTCTCCTCCATCTTTGGTCACGCCGGCCTCTATCCCGATTCCCGTAGTGCTGCCATCGTCGTCAACTCCCACTCTTGTGCCGCCGCCCCAAGCAAAGCCGAATTCGGGCTCTGACCTCCCAGATAAGGGCTCGGCCCCTACTTCACCCCATTGATCTTTGACTTCACGAACTTCTTGTAGAACACATTGAGATCTTACTCTTTGGACAAAGTGACCCCATCGATGTTGAAGTCGCGGTACCCAAACTCCGTACAGGCCAAAGGGTTTGCTTGTCTGGGTCAATCTGCAAGACGGAATAGATTTGTCCTCGCGATTCAGGCAGACGCGGATTTGGTCAATAACTTCGACCGAGTGCTCTCTGCTTGGGTTGTGCAGATTTGGGTCCATTGAAGTGGAGGTGATGCTTGATTTGAGGGATTTTGAAGTATGGGTGTGATTGATTTGATTTTGGGGGGAGGGGGGGTTGGGCGGGGCAAGGGGGTGTCTGTCATATATCTGGTGCTTTGCTCCCTCTTTGCTGATTGTCACGGCTTTTTGTGTTCATACAAATTGCCACTTCGTCTCTCTGAAATTTTAAACTTTTGACCAAGTCTTCTGCTAGGTCATTATCATCTACCTCTACCTCTACCTTGGAAAGTTTCTGTTTATTAAGTTTGGCGAGAAACTTTTCTGTTTTGAATTTCACCAGCTTTGGACCTTTCTGTTTTGGACAGAACGATTCTGTCCAACTTTTCTATTTTGAAAAATTGGAAAATATTTGAGGTGCATCAGTTGCCTGATTGAAAATTTCTTCAGCTGGGTTTTGAGTTTTTTTTTTTTTTTTGGGGGGGAAGAAGCTGGGTTTTCAGTTTGAATGAATCTTTCTGGGTATGAAAGAGAGAGAAGAAGAGAGCCAGCAAGTCTAAAGACAGAAAGATAGAGAGAGAAAATAAGTTTAACATGAGGGCCAGGTCATCTCCACATTGGCCTTCTTTTTTCATAAGAAAAGTCTGGTAAGAATTAAAATTTTACTAAAAATGCCGCGCCAGACGAACTGCTGGAATTTGTCACCGGAAGTACTTAAATGATCGTTTTTTTTCCGATTTGACACTTAAGTGAGCCGGCGAAAACTTAGGGCACTTATGTGAGCGCCGTACATAACTTTTATCACTTTTAGTGTCCTTTTGCCGATATTTAATAAAATAGTCATTGCTAGGAATACGGCATTGTTATAGTGAATTTTTCAAAGTTGTTTTATTTGCTACGATACACCAGACAACAACTCTTTTATTTGGGACGAAAGTCCTCGTGATTCAACGTGCGTTTCACTTGTTTTTCCGATGGCAAGCTATCAAGACCATTTGAGCACTCGGCGAACTTCGCTTGGAGACGGCCAAACATGCCGCCGCACTTCAATAGCCGCGTAGATAGTTGCACAAGCATCCGGTCTGCGCAGCGTATTGAGCTCGCTCGTCTTCTTCGGCAAGGCACCCTTTCTTTATCTGAAAGTGGTTTTCCCGACTGCAGCATTCATGACGATCAGCTCCAATAATGTTACGGCCCACGATCGAAGAACCAAGATTTAGGGGACGGCATAATTTAATGAAAGGGCAGATTGCCTTTTTTTTCTATGGTCCCAAGAGTTTGATATTTATGGGGTCCATTAGGTTTCGTACATAGTGCTGTTTATGGCCATTTCCTAATCATTTGCCCATGACGTAGACAGTGATATAAACCAGAGGTGTGACGTTTGTGGATTGGAATATGACGTAGGTTTGAATGATAGATACATTTAGAAAGGGTGGACTGACCTAATGGCAAGTACTATAGATTCCTCTCATTTTTGTCATAGTTCTCATTGAATTCACACCAAACCTTTTGTACCATGCTGACGCGCCATCTTTGCTCAGGCCTATTGAACAAAACCCAATCCGGATTTATGTGCCACGTTCGACCCAGATTAAGAAAATTCGAATTGGACTTGGTCATCGTCGGGTAAGTCCGAGCATCGCAAGCAATTTCGCGGAATCATTTTGCCTGTTGGAGCCGGAAAATTTATTTCCTGTTTGGAGTTGGAGTTGGACTTGCCCGAGTCCGCAATGGATTTCCGAAATTTGGCAGCATATATGTTCTTCAACTTGGGGTTTTGGTCTTCATGCAGTTAACAGACAGAGGGAGTTTTTCCTTGGGTTCGTTGAACTACACTAAAAAATTGAGTAACCTTTTCCGTTGTTGGTTTCGGGCAATTACTTCTTCGTGATGTCTTAGACAAATCTTGTATTGAAATGGATAATTCTCTTTCAAGATTATTTCGTGAGTAAGAAATGACTAATTCTCTTTCGAGATTATTTCGTGAGTAAATGTGAGAGTCAAGTAATGTGTGGGATTATCGGGTGTAGTCAAAGGTTGGGGAACATTGAGAATATTCGAATGGTTTCGGTGTGATTGTAATATCAGTTATATCACTTAATTTACAGTAAAATTTTATGTATGTCTCGGCTCATTTTTCTTTCAAGATCATGAAGGAGACACAATGCTTTTTGTACCTAAAAGTCTAAATGCATGGGGACGTGCTACCATGTGAGTAAATTCAAATCACATTAATTGCTTATACATCTCTTATTAAAAGTGCCCCTTTTGGTGACCAATATTTCTAGTTTTTCCGTAACATTATTCTTTTTTTTTTTATTACATTGGACGAAACTTTAATTTTATTATCGATAATAGCTTATTATTGACATAGTTTTAAAGAACATTTATTATTGACATAGTTTTAAAGAACATTTATTATTGACATAGTTTTAAAGAACATATCAAATCTTCACAACATATTAACATTCTTTTTTCAAGTCATTTATTCCCTTTATTTTGTGTTATAAACTAGGAGAAATGGACATAAATGAGAGGCTCCTTTAGGGTCTTTTTTTTTGTGAAACAGCATTTGTCACGTAATAAAATTGTATCCGATCGTAAATTATTTCAAAATTCGGTGTTGCTAAATGAAAATGAAAAAATAAGGAAAATTATCAAAAAAGTCCTAAATCTATTGCACTTGTCCTAATTCAATCATAAACATTTCAATTTAACCAATTTAGTCCTAGACCTTTTGACGATTTCCCAATTTAGTCATAAACATTTTGACAATTTGTATATTTTGTCCAAACATTTTGACGATTTGTCAATTTAGTCCTTCCAATCAATTTTAGCCAAAAAACACTAACGTGGCGGTCTAGTCAGCTCCGACCATCCTATATGGCACGGCTGGCGATGGATGATCGATGCTAACGTGGACAATTTTTTTTAAAAATTAATTTTTAATTTTGCTTTCTTTTTCTTTCCTCTTTTTTTCCAACTCTTGACCAGCGAAGCTACTGACCGACCCTCGTCGACCACAGGCGAAGCCCTTGCCCAAATCAAGGTGAGCACCTTGCCCAGACCAAGCGAGGGAGTCGCCGGCCAAGAGTTGGAAGAAAAGAGGAAAGAATAAAGAAAAAATAAATAAATAAAAATTTAGAAAAATGTAAAAATTGTGCACGTCAGCGCCAGTCATGTAACGTAAGACAACCGGAGATAACTAGACCGCCACGTCAGCATTTTTTGATAAAAATTGGTAAATCACCAGAAGCCTTTGTCCGTAGCATGACGAGCCCCTCGGAGCGCTTGTTCACGGCCAAGGCTGACATCGAGACCGAGTCCACCTAGGGCCGGCGACGGCAGCGCCGAGGTGTTTGTGGTGACCGCCATTAACCAAACGGGTCGTCGGAGTCCCGGTCCTCGCTTTTTTGTCATTAGAGCGGGTTCAGTCGCCGGAAGTTTGATCTCCGGCGAGTGTCCATGGCCGGCTCCGGTGATCTGGTGGGGCCTTTCGACGGTGGGTCATCAATTGAGCTGCTTCTTGACGGGAAGAAGAAAGAAGAAGCAGTCTCACAGAGAAGGGAAGAGAGAGAGCGGAAGAAGAAGACGAGGAGGAGGAGGAAGGGAATAAGTGCAAAACAAGATAAAAAAGAAAAACCGAAAACCAAACTGTAATCGGATCGGATCATATTCGGTTCGTATAGCTTTTCGGTTCGGTTTAAGCACACATCTAAATGGTTCAGTTCGGTTCGATTTTCCTAAAAATTCAATCCGAACCGAATCATTGACGTACCTAAACATAAGTGCAATAGATTTAGAATATTTTTAATAATTGTCCCTCAAAACGTAGTACCGAAACTTTAGAATAGATTTTAGCTTCTAGCGATGGCGTCAAAAGAACGTCATGCATTTATACCTCGTTGTTTATGTTTTTGGTGGAAGCATTTATATCACGTGTGGTAAATGACGACCTGATCTTACCTGACCTCACTAATTACCTCACTAAGAGACTTTATATCATCACCGCCTCGCACATTCAAGTGAAGTGCAGTTGGGTCTCCAACCACAACCAGTTAGCCACAAACGCAAAGCACAAAGAGGAAAGAGCTACAACAATGGAGGACGCCATCGTCCTGTACACATTCCCGGAGATCGGCCACGTCATCTCTACGGTCGAGCTCGGCAAGCTCATCCTCCACCGCCACGGCCACCAGTTCGCCATCACCGTCCTCCTCACCGTCGGCTTCGTCGACTCCCCGAGCATCACCTCCTACGTCGACTCCATCTCTCGCTCCCACCCTTCCATCTCCTTCCGCCGCCTCCCTCCCGTCTCCGTTGACCCGGCCAACCCCCCTCGGAGCCACGCCGCCGTGGCTTTCGAGTTCGTACGCAAGAACTCCGCCAACGTCCTCCAGTCTCTACGGGACATCTCCGCCGCCTCCACCGTGAGAGCGCTCATCATCGACATCTTCTGCACCACCGCGCTGCCCATAGCGAAGGAGCTGAACATCCCCACGTACTACTTCTTCACCTCTGGCGCGTCTGCACTTGCCGCGTTCCTTTATTTGCCGAGACTTTTTGAGCGCTCGACTAAGAGCTTCAAGGACCAGGATGGGGTCGTCCTTGAGTTCCCGGGCCTCCCATCCTTGAAGGCCATCCAGATGCCGGAGCCGACCCTCGATCAGGACGACCCAGCCTACGGCGAGATGTGCTACTTCTGTGACCACCTGACCAAGGCGGATGGGATTCTGGTGAACACGTTTGAAGCGCTCGAACCGAAGGCAGTGGAGCTCATCGCCAGCGGCGCATGTGTGCCGGACGCGCCGACCCCGCCGGTTTACTGCATCGGGCCCCTGATTGCGGATGAGTCCTCGCGTGCCGGCGACAGCACTGTCGGCGGGCAGCAGGATTGCCTGTCTTGGCTGGAGAAGCAGCCGAGGAAGAGCGTGGTCTTCCTGTGCTTCGGAAGCCGGGGAACGTTCTCGGCCGAGCAGATCAAGGAAGTGGCGGACGGGCTGGAAAAGAGCGGTCATCGGTTCCTGTGGGTGGTGAAGAAGCCGTCCGGCCATGAGCAGGGCGGCGGCAACGGCGATGTGGATTTGGAGGCGCTCATGCCGGAGGGTTTCCTGGAGAGGACCAAGGAGACGGGGATGGTGGTGACGTCATGGGCGCCGCAAGGAGCAGTGCTGAGGAAGGAGGCGGTGGGGGGGTTCGTGACGCACTGCGGGTGGAACTCGGTGCTGGAGGCAGTGGCGGCGGGGGTGGCGCTGGTGGCGTGGCCGCTGTACGCGGAGCAGCACATGAACAGGAACTTCCTGGTGCAGGACATGGGGATGGCGATCGGGGTGGAGCAGCGGGACGGCGACGGATTCGTAAGCGGGGACGAAGTGGAGAGGGCGGTGAGAGAGCTGATGGAGTCGGAGCACGGGAGAGAGCTGAGAGAGAAGAGCTGGGCGAAGAGAGAGAAGGCCGCCGAGGCTCTGGGAGACTCCGGATCTTCTACCGCGGCGCTGGCCAAGTTGGCCCAAACATGGAGCAGCCTCCCATGAAGCGTTCAAGTTCTTGCATCACTTGTTTTAATTACCATGTGAGTTCAATCTAAAACTTACATAGTTTGGTTTCTCTTGTCATTGGAAAGTTGTTTCAAGAGATCGTTCATAAAGAGTCCTGCTAGTAGGAGGACGGCGCAGTTAATAGTGAATTTTTCAAAGTTGTTTTATTTGTTAAGATATTCCGGACAAAAACTCTTTTATTTGGGACGAAAGTCCTCGTGATTTTCAAACGTGCATTTTACTTGTTTTTCCGATGGCAAGCTAGCGAGACCGTTTGAGCCCTCGGCGAACTTCTCTTGAAGATGGCCAAACAAGCCGCGGTGCTTCGATGGTTTTTCCGACTGCATCATTTGTGACGATCAGCTCCAATTTTGTTACGGCCCACGATCGAAGAACCAAGATTTAGGGGACGGCATAATTTAATGAAAGGGCAGATTGCCTTTTTTTTCTATGGTCCCAAGAGTTTGATATTTATGGGGTCCATTAGGTTTCGTACATAGTGCTGTTTATGGCCATTTCCTAATCGATTGCCCATGACGTAGAGAGTGATATAAACCAGAGGTGTGACGTTTGTGGATTGGAATATGACGTAGGTTTGAATCATAGATACATTTAGAAAGGGTGGACTGACCTAATGGCAAGTACTATAGATTCCTCTCATTTTTGTCATAGTTCTCACTGAATTCACACCAAACCTTTTGTACCATGCTGACGCGCCATCTTTGCTCAGGCCTATTGAACAAAACCCAATCCGGATTTATGTGCCACGTTCGACCCAGATTAAGAAAATTTTCATTTGACTTGGTTATCGTTCGGGGAAGCCCGAGCATCGCAAGCAATTTCGCGGCCGCATTTTGCCTGTCGGAGCCGTTTATTTCCTGTTTGGGTTGGAGCTGGACTTGCCCGAGTCCGCAATGGATTTCGGGCAGCATATATGTTCTTCAACTTGGGGTTTTGGTCTTCTGCCCGTTAACAGGACAGAGGGAGTTTTTCCTTGGGTTCGTTGAACGAACCTCACACTAAAGGAGTAACCTTGTCCGAGGTTGGTTTCAGGGCTATTACTTCTTCGCCGATGCCGTAAGACAAATCTTTTATTGAAATGGATAATTCTCTTTGAGATTATTTCCGTGGAGCAAATCGGAGTCGAAATGTAAGTCATGGGATTATCGGGTGTAGTCAAAAGTTGAGGAACATTGAGAATATTTGAATGATTTTGGTATGATTGTAATATCGGTTATATCGCTTTAATTTACAAAGGAAATTTTTATGTATGTCTAGGCTCATGGACTGACCTAATGGCAAGTACTATAGATTCCTCTCATTTTTGTCATAGTTCTCACTGAATTCACACCAAACCTTTTGTACCATGCTGACGCGCCATCTTTGCTCAGGCCTATTGAACAAAACCCAATCCGGATTTATGTGCCACGTTCGACCCAGATTAAGAAAATTCGAATGGACTTGGTCATCGTCGGGTAAGTCCGAGCATCGCAAGCAATTTCGCGGAATCATTTTTGCCTGTTGGAGCCGGAAAATTTATTTCCTGTTTGGAGTTGGAGTTGGACTTGCCCGAGTCCGCAATGGATTTCCGAAATTTGGCAGCATATATGTTCTTCAACTTGGGGTTTTGGTCTTCATGCAGTTAACAGACAGAGGGAGTTTTTCCTTGGGTTCGTTGAACTACACTAAAAAGTTGAGTAACCTTTTCCGTGGTTGGTTTCAGGCTATTACTTCTTCGCGATGCCGTAGACAAATCTTTTATTGAAATGGATAATTCTCTTTTGAGATTATTTCGTGAGCAAATGCGGGAGTCAAGTAATGTGTGGGATTATCGGGTGTAGTCAAAAGTTGAGGAACATTGAGAATATTTGAATGATTTTGGTATGATTGTAATATCAGTTATATCGCTTAATTTACAGTGAAATTTTATGTATGTCTAGGCTCATTTTTCTTTCAAGATCATGAAGGAGACACCATGCTTTTTGTACCTAAAAGTCTAAATGCATGGGGACGTGCTACCATGTGAGTAAATTCAAATCACATTAATTGCTTATACATCTCTTATTAAAAATGCCCCTTTTGGTGACCAATATTTCTAGTTTTTCCGTAACATTATTCTTTTTTTTTTTGGTTTATTACATTGGAGGAAACTTTAATTTTATTATCGATAATAGCTTATTATTGACATAGTTTTAAAGAACATATCAAATCTTCACAACATATTAACATTCTTTTTTTCAAGTCATTTATTCCCTTTATTTTGTGTTATAAACTAGGAGAAATGGACATAAATGAGAGGCTCCTTTAGGGTCTTTTTTTTGTGAAACAGCATTTGTCACGTAATAAAATTGTATCCGATTGTAAATTATTTCAAAATTCGGTGTTGCTAAATGAAAATGAAAAAATAAGGAAAATTACCAAAAAAATCCTAAATCTATTGCACTTGTGCCAAGTCAATCATAAACTTTTCAATTTAACTAATTTAGTCCTAAACCTTTTGACGATTTCTCAATTTAGTCCTAAATCTTTTGACAATTTATCCATTTAGTCCAAACATTTTGACGATTTGTCAATTTAGTCATTTCAATCAATTTTGGCCAAAAAACACCGACATGGCGATTTAGTCAGCTCCAGCCATCCTATGTAGTATGGCTTGTGCTGGATAATCGACATTAACATGGATAAATTTTTTTTTTAATTAATTTTTAATTTTTCTTTTTTTTCCAACTCTTGACCAGCAAAGCTACTGACCAACCCTCGCCAGCCACAGGCGAAGACCTTGCCCAGATCAATGCAAGCACCTCGCCCAGACCAAGCGAGGGAGTCGCTGGCCAAGAGTTGAAAGAAAAGAGGAAAGAATAAAGAAAAATAATAAAAAAATAAAAAATTTAGAAAAATGTAAAAATTGTGCACGTCAGCGCTAGTCGTGTAACGTAGGACGACTGGAGGTGACTGGACCGTCACATCAGTATTTTTCAATCAAAATTGATAAATTATTAGAAGGTTTAGAACTAAATTAGCACAATTGAAAAGTTTAGGAAAGATCTATGATTGAATTGATCATATTGAAAGGTTTGGGACTGAATTAGCATAAGTAGGGACGTCAGAATCGAACCGGAAAACCGAACTGAGATACGAACAGAATCGAAAATTTCGTGCATTTCGGTTCGCGTCGATTTCGGTTTGGATAATAAGTAAATGAGTTTGGTTATCATAATGGTTCGGTTCGGCTCGATTCAAATCGGATTGGATTTCGTTTTTTTTAATGTCTTTTTCTTCTCTTCGCGCGCTCTCTCTCCTCAATATCACTGTTCAATACTGCTCAGTGCTCACCGCTCACTCACTTTTCTCTCTCTCTCTCTCTCTCTCTCTTTCACTTTTTAACTTTATTCTCTCTCTTCCTCTGTCTTCGCACTCTCACTGCTCTCCTCTCTCTCTCTCTTTCCTGCTTTTTTCTCTCTCTTCCTCTTCCCTCACGGCATTATCATCTCCCAAAAAGTGACAAAACACATATATTTCTCTCTGGCTTCTTGAACTTGGGCCAGGTGCCGCGCTTGAGGTGCTCGGAGGCGGTCCTCGACGGGGTTGGAGGCGGAGAAGACGGCCTCGCAGAGTGAGTGCCGGAGCTTCACGGCCTTGGCGAGGCCGGTGTCGGCGTTGTGGACGAGCATGGGCTCGAGGTGCGCCCAGTACCACGCGCCTTTCCCCTTTGACGGCCTTTGTCCGTAGCATGACGAGCCCCTCGGAGCTCTTGTTCACGGCCGAGGCCGACATCGAGACAGAGTCCACGTGGGCCGGCGACGGCGGCTCCGAGGTGTTTGTGGTGACCGCCATTAACCAAACGGGTCGTCCGAGTCCCGGTCCTCGCTTTTTTGTCGTTAGAGCGGCTTCAGTCGCCGGAAGTCCGGTCTCCGGCGAGTGTCCATGGCCGGCTCCGGTGATCTGGTGGGGCCTTTCGGTGGTGGGTCATCAATTGAGCTGCTTCGGAAGAAGAAAGAAGAAGCAGTCTCACAGAGAAGGGAAGAGAGAGAGCGGAAGAAGAAGACGTGGAGGAGGAGGAAGGGAAGAAGTGCAAAAAACGATAAAAAAGAAAAATCGAAAACCGAACCGTAATCAGATCGGATCATATTCGGTTCGGATAGTTTTTCGGTTTGGATCAAGCACATGTTTAAACGGTTCAGTTCGGTTGGTTCGATTTTTCTAGAAATTCAAACCGAACCAAACCATTGACATACCTAAATATAAATGCAATAAATTTAGAATTTTTTTAATAATTTTTCCTCAAAACATAGTACCGAAACTTTAGAATATATTTTAGCTTCTACGATTGCGTCAAAAGAACGTCATGCATTTATACCTCGTTGTTTATGATTTTGGTCGAAGCATTTATATCACGTGTAGTAAATGACGACATGATCTCATTAATTACTAGAGGTGTCAAAATGGGTCTTAAACCCATATATGACCCATTTATTTTAAATGGGTCATATATGAGTCACTTTAATTTTAAAGAGTCAACCTTAAATGGATTTGACAAAAAAAAAAAAAACCTTAAATGGATTTAAAATTTTAAAGCTTAAAGATAAATGGGTCTAAATAGGTTGAGTTTGGAACCCATGTTCAACCCACCTACTAGACCCATCCACACACTCTCTCCCTCTTTACAAAAATGTTTAAAAAAATCGAAATTTAATTATTTTTTTCTCTTTTTCTTTTATTTTTATTTTTTTCTTTTCTCTTCTTTCTTTTTCTTTTTTTTTTATTTCGGCCGGTGGTCGGCCACGGCCACCGGGGCGGGACGACCTCGCCGGAGGCCGGCGAAGCTCGAGCTCGCCGGCCTCGGGCGAGGCTTGAGCCTCGCCGATCAGGCGAGCCTCGAGCTCGCCCGATTCCGGCGAGCTCGAGGCTCGCCCGATGCCGGCGAGGCTCCAGCCTCGTCGACCTGTGGCGAGGCTCCAGCCTCGCCGATCTGGCTCGCCGGCCTCGGGCGAGGCTCCACCTCGCCAGATCCGGCGAGGTCGAGCTCGCCTGAGGCCGGCGAGCTCGAGTCTCGCCAGATCGGCGAGGCTGGAGCCTCGCCACAGGTCTGCGAGGCCTCGGCCTCGCCAGATCGGCGAGAACGAGCTTCGCCGGCCTCCGGTGAGCTCATCCTCGCCTATGGTAGGTCGCTGGCCACGGC